TTATTATGAGTTTAATTTTCCCCGAGCCGGTTCACTTTTCACTTTTTGTTCCCATGTATTTACTATGGGCGGAATACAAATTTTCGGGTGAAATTTTTTTTCGTGCGAAGCTCAAGATAAGGCAGAATATTTTTTAAATTTACTTTTTGAGAAATTTTCACTTTCCGATTACAAAGTTTGGATTAAAACACCCGCTACAAGAAAAATATTCATCTTATTTCAATTTATGTTATATTATATTGAAACAACATATTTTAGCTATCGTTATGTATCCAATTTTCCTTCATAAATTTGTTACGTGATTTTTAATTAATTTACTTTATCTCAAAATTTTCGCATACACAAATGACAAATAGTATACTGAATCTTACAAATTTTTAACTCATCTTTTCGCCTCGCTTCTCACAATTTTTATGGACTAACACCACACTGCGTAATATTTATGGAGCGGTCCTACAAACATTTAAACATAATAAAATATGCATAGAATATAGATAAATAGTAATAAGTCAATAGACTTGTATAACTCGGGATTATTAAAAAAAAAAAATCAATTGAATAAACCAAGGAATTTCGATAAACTAATAAGTTTAATGCCTCAATAAATTCCGACAACTATACAAATAATCATTAAATATCGGTAACCGGTAAGCTCGAAAAATTCAATATATAACGATAACTCGATAAACTGCTATAACTAAATAATACTATGTCTCCACGAGCACTGCCAATTACGTAGTTCGCTTCTGAATTACTTTGGTGAATTAGCCCGTTTACACGACTCATCCCTAATTGGATTTGACAATTCTTTGACAGCTGAGGTCGATAAATTTCCGATTAAAATTAGAGATGGTAATTGGATCTGAATTATCTAGAAATGAGGTAATTCGCTCTAAAAATTTTCTATAGCGAATTATGTAATTCGAAGAGTAATTGGGGCACCAATTACGAATGAGAGGGCCAATAACGAATGGGAGAGCGAATTACGTGCCGTGGGGACATGGTATAAATAAATGTAATTCGAAAAAATACCAATAACTTGATAAAAAAAACGTTCGATAATCCGATAAATTTTTATGAGTAAATACATTTTTGTAAGTTTCTGGCTCGATAAGTTTCGATATTTCAATAAACATTTATTAATTTTAATGAACAAACTGAACATTTGAAAGCACACTTACATGTTGTGCTCGTAGTTGAGCGTGCAGAGATGCTTGCTGTTACTTGTTAGCTTCCAGAAGATCCAGGTTCGAATCCCAACACAGACAACATGTGATAATAGTTGCGATCCCGTACGAGTCCGGACTAGACAGAAATAGTCAGAATCAGTCAGATTTTACTGGAAATCGATCCCGTACTCGGCTCTCTGACTATTGAGAGGACAAAAAAGAGAGTAAATACGGTTCTCTCTCTGTCAGAAGTTACCAGTTTTAGTCCGAGAATTTTTTGCTGGTAAATTCTGGTAAATGTGTCAAACGATCAGCTGTAGTGTGTTTGGCAACCAAATTGTAAACAAAAGAAAAGTGCACTCTGCTAATTCATGTTGAAAAGTATTTAATTACTTGTTTAAGTGGATTCTAATGAATTTGAAAGTATTTTTGGTTATTTACATGTGTGATCTGAGTGTGTTTACATACAAAATAAGCAAAAATTTACAACCAAAATTTGGAGGTTATGTTGAAGTTGACAGAAGTTACCATTTTTTACTAGAAAGCGATCCCGTACTTTTCAATTTTACTCTCTCGCTCTGAGCGAATTTTTATTTTTTGACAGTTTTACTAGTCCGAGTCCGAGGAATACGGGATTGCGCCTAATGATAATATTTTGTTTTTGTTTCTTGGAAATATTAAAAAGCATCTGTGAAATGCAGAACGAAAGTGTATTCAAACGAAACATACTGACGCTACAACAAAATTTGAACAGGGGTTTCCACAGGGTGGTGTCCCTTCTCCGCTTCTGTTAAACTTCTATATTTCGAAACTACCTCAACCACCAGAGGGAGTCTCCATCATCTCATACGCTAACGACTGCTCGATAGTGAAATAACCTTTCCGAGCTTTCTCGCTACTTCACTGCAAGGCGCCTAACCCAGATAAGTCAGACTACAGCTGGAAATTTACACCGACGATGAACCAATTCCGACTGTGAACAACCCCCAAAATACTCAGATTTACCTTCGATAGTACAGAGCCGCAACAAGGCCCTCAAGTCGCCAGCCGAAAGCACCTGGGGAAGAGACAATCGAACTTTGTTGGCAACATACAAGGCAATTGACCGGCCGGTTTTAAAATATGCAGCGCCCGTGTGGTCGCCGAGGACTTGCAGGACGCAGTGCATGAAGCTACAGACCTGCCAAAACATGGCACTACGGACAGCCACGGGATACCTTTTGATGTCTCCCGAACACCATCTGAATGACGAAAGAACAAATGCTCCCCATTAAGCAGCACAAGCAGTTCCAGACGTGGGCACCCGACCGTAACTAAATGTCGCTCTCGAAGTTTTTTTTTGCAAGAACGCTTCAAAACCAAAACCGAAATGAGAACAAAACTGTCGAGAACAACGTTCTCAATGCGAATTATATAAGAGCGTTCCCAAGGAGAACAAAATGCGAACAATACTTTCGGGAACATTTCTAAGAACGTTTTGGCAAATAATAAAAGTCTGTGGTACTTTCTCTCGAAGAACAATTTGGGAACTAGAGTCTCAGGAACTTTCTGACAGAGAACGAAACGGGAACAAATATTCCCTTAATTTTTCGCGAAGAAAGGAAGCAAGAACACAATGAAATGTTTGAATAGTAAAATTAATCAAAAAAGAACTGAAAGATAATTACGCAAACAAAGTAAACGAAAGACTTAAGACGCGAACTTTCCTTGTACATAAAATGAAAAACTGTTCCATAAATGGATAGTTCATCCTCATGATAAACGACTTAGAAGTTTAAATGATCCAATTAAATTAACTAATTAATTTTTCCATAACTTTTGTTCTCTAGCAGAACGTTTCCCAGGCTTTTCTTCTGGTTTGAACCTACTTTTCTCCATGATAAAAACATAGTAAGGTAAAACCGTTCTCTCAATTTGTCGGCCATGATTTTTTTTGAAGTTTGCCAACATTTTAAAATCATATAAAAGTGAAAATAAAAAATTGAAATTGTTCGAAATTGTTGTTGCTTGAGATTGAAAATGAAAATGTGTGTGAGTTTGTGAGTAAATTTAAAAATTAAATTGTTTGGAAACGTCAAGAATCTTAAAATTGACTCTCAGCGGTTCTACCTTACTATATTTTTATCATGCTTTTCTCATTGGAAATGTTTCCGAAAGTTTCGTTCTCATTCGCATTTTATTCTTTACGGAAACGTATTCAACGTGTTCCCATTCAAACTGCTCTCAATACTTTTGTGCTCGCTTGGCTCTTTTGTGGGAACGTTCTTGACATTACGCTTTGTTCTCGTGCAGAATTAAACCAAAACAGGAACGCATTTTCGGTCCCTGGTTCTAACGTTGGTCTATAGGAAATTTTCGAAATAATTTGTGATTGTGTTTGAGATTTTAAAACGAAAATGTAATTTTATTGGAGTATATAGGGTAAACTGTTCTAGTTGGGATATATAGATATACATATGTATATATGTATGTGTACAGAGTGTCCTAGGCCGTCTGTCCAACCACGAACATCCCCGACTTGGCGATTCATATTTTTTCGTTTTCCAATAAAAACATTTTTGTCCATTTCAGAAGCCCAGGACAAGTTGCAGTCAGAACGTCATTAAAGCTGATGCCAGATAAAACTTTGTGGCTTTGTGTGACATTTATAACTTTGCCAGCAAAGCGCCAGACGCAAAAGATATGCCACAATGAACGCCAAGAAAACAATTTTGTTCTTCCGTTTTATATTGCGTTCAAGTGCATTATAATCGTTTGAACTCATTGCCCATACAATAGATAATTAAGTGACAGTTCACTCCATTCCGTTACTTCCATTATAATCCAGGCATAATTGTCAACGGGCAAAAAGATGGAAGTTGGCCATCGTTTCGCTTCGCGCTGCAGCTTCAACGATCTATGTGTCATGCTATGTGCATTTTCATACAATTCAACTTATCTGTTATATACATATGTACATATATTGCAGCATTCATGTAATAGCAGTTGCTGCAGCTAAATTTTGTTTATTTTTCCTTCCTAATTATTTTTCATATCTGTATAAACAAGTTTAGATATAAATTTCCTGTCGTTATTGGTTTTATACTGGCACAAAGTGCTGGCTCATAACTTGGATCATATATGACTCCTAAAAGATTCATAGAAGAGTAAAAAAATGTTTGTTTTTGAAACTCATATTTCTTACTTACCTAGGACTCTTTTCCGACTCATATATTCTGAGCGCTCAGAAAATGTTTGCGGGGATACGTATCATTCTTGGTATGCATGTATGTAGCTTCAAAATATTCAAACGCTTGTAATTCTACATACATATGTACGTGCATACATATACATGTACATACATGTACAAAATATTGCCAACAAATACATACATGCATGTGCTCCTGACTACGTACATACATACATACGTATTTTATAGAAAAAATATTTGTATTTGGCCTTTCAAGTTATACTGTCTTGCAAAAAAAAATTAAGTTAAAAAATTTTGTTCACTTAGGTCCCACCGAGACTTGAACTCGGATCGCTGGATTCAGAGTCCAGAGTGCTGGCCATTACACCATGGAACCATTTAACGGTACATCGGTTATCGCAAGAGTATATTGCAACAGACAGGCGCAACATAGCTGTTAACGAATAGATAACAGCAAAGTGCATCCTTGCTGTTATCGATAACGGATGCAGGCAAACTAGGGTTGCCAGCAAAACTTTTAATTTCCTAAAATTTCTACTTGATTCTTAATGCGCTACAGAAGCACGTAAAGCGAATGCTCATATATTTCCCTTCAAATTGCACTCCCCCTATTCGATAGTTAATTCAATAAAATAGAAACGTATTTCCATGCATATTGATTAACTTTTATTGAATGCTTGAGTATTGTATATTTTGAATATTGAATACGATTGATTAACTCTGTTACATTGAAGCAAAAACCACTTTGTAAGTGCATAAACTTGTGATAGTAAATATTTTAAGTTTGAATAAAATTGGTTTTATGTAATGGTATATAACATTTATGCCCATTTACGGTATAATATTTTTTTTGCTCTTCTCTACCAAATTCAATTCAACGCAGTCGAAGTGAGCACAGCGACCCCACGCTCATAGAAACTATGTGGATCTTGGCCAGCAGCTACAGCCAAATCCACAGTAAACAACAGCTCAGTGCGTGTGGAGTTCAAGTAGACCGGCAAGGTAAGCTTGCTAACTCGCATCTCAGTAGAAGCCCTGCAAATCGCAAGAAAACAAGTTATTTTTAGTGACAATATTAGAACATACTTGTTATGACTTATTCTTACTTGACCCATTTGAGTATGGTGAGTGGCAAATCCATCATAATAGTGGAAGCTAAGAGCAGCTCGTTGTTCTTGCATTGTGCGCCTTGTAATTTCAAGCCAGCCACACCGAAACTACTATCCTTCTGATCTGGATTCACGCTCGACTCGGTGATTGTTACTTCCAAGGCTAATTCCTCCAAAGACCAGCTGTTGGCCTGTGCTACACATTGACGTGTGGCAGTGATGTAAGCCTCTGGATTCAATAAGCCGCCTAACCAAACAGGGAATGTCTGCAACGATGGAGAAATGCGATAAAAAATTTTAAATTTAAAATGCTCCTGCTGCATTTTGTACACACCTGCAACTCCTTGGCGCCTGCTTGCGACACTAATTTCGACACCTTCTGTAGCTGCTGCACGCGATTACTAAAATCGGTAATCCACTGTATGACAGTGCAGCCCACCGGTACGGTGTAACGCTTCCAACCCTTCGGTATAATACCACGCACCAGCTCTGACAACATTGAACGATGGTGATTCGTTTGCTTCTTTTCACCTTGACAAATCAATACCACATCCTGCAGATCGGAAATGACCGTGGTCAACAATTTAGCGCCTGAAGTGACCTCTCGTTCAAAGTAACGGTACAGCGGATCTTTGATATTCTCCACAGTACGCTTAAGCACAGGCAAATTTTTGGGCAAAAGCTCTAACCAAGCAGTTGCCGAGTTATGTAAGGTTTTCATCCATGATGGACGCCCATCTTCCTGTCGTGCTGCATTAGCATTAGCCGCCTCGGCATGTTCTTCCACACTATAGGCCAATTCATCATCATCCTCCAGCTGTTGCATCTTTAACAGCTTGCTCACCAAATCTGTGCCGCGTGTCGTTAGCAACACTTTCTCCGCATTGTTGGGCAATCCGAGCCAGGAAGGCGTCTGGCGGTCGGACAAATTCTCAATCCACTTCAAGAAGTGATCGCGTCGCGTGCCATCGGGCATGGTGATGTGTCGCTGACCGCCGGCACCGCCATCAACATTGGCCACAAGCGCGAAATCGCTTTCGAAGCTGCGCGCCGTGAATAATTTTTTCAGGAATGAAGTCAGCAAACGCTGATCGAAGTCATTGTCAATTTTACCGCCGTAGATGGATTGCGACAACAATGTTACCAACGCGTCCCATGGCACCTTCTCCGGCGGCAAATTGGTGCGACCCATTGCGGTCGTATCGATCCAGGTGTCCAGCGTGTCGCACGCGACGCGCAGATCCGACTCATTGAACTCGTACTTCTTCGCCCAGCCAAGGGGCACATAACGCAGACGTTCCTGCACAATGGCATGGAACCAGGCCAGTAAGAAGTAGAGACGCGCACGTTCACTGGGTGTTTTCATCATGCGCGCCGCCGGCACTGTTGAGAAAGTGCGCAACAAGTTGGCGCGAATGCCTGGCGGCGGTTCGAAAACGAAAATGCGGCCTGCGCGCAACAAGTTGACCGGCACCTTGGGATTGATCTCCATGGTGAGGAACAATCTGAAGCCCGAATGTGGCTGCAGCGAGTGTAGTTTCTTCTCTAATTGCACCAACCATTGAGGCGCTAAGTGAACGTTCTTCAGCAGTACCCAGCGACCGCTCTTGCAGGCCATGTTGATGGCGCGCTCGGCCTGATTGAAGCCCTCGGCCGAACCAATGGCAATGCTCGAGATCTGTTTGTTCAGCTCGGCAGCCAAGTCGTCCACACGTCCGGAGGCGTCAAAGCCGGGCACTGAGCACAGCAATGCGGGTGTGTTGCAGTTCAACTGCTTCTCCACAACAGCAGCCAAGTCCAATTCCTTTTCCGCGTTTGGCATAAAATCTAGACCCAGCACAGCGTCGACAACCTTATGAGCGGCGGCGATGACACGATCCGGGCGGAAAGCTTGTATCAAAAGCAATTGATGAATAGAGCTGACGATCGAGGTGAGTGCCTTCGATTCATCCCACAACTGCGGTACACACTGCTCCGGTGAGCTTTGTTGCAGCCAAGCGCCGATTTCGGGCATTGATTTAAGCTTTTCGATTAACTTGCGGAAGATAGGCAGACGTGACTGCAAACGGTTTACACTCTCTATTTGCTCGGCTGTGAGGCCATCGACTGGCGTTGACGAAGCAAGAAGACCCTCGCGACTGCGCAAGAAGAAATTGAATTCAGCGTCCAAGTTTTGTTCCGAAGTACCCTTCAGATGAATTTTGCACATCAGTAGAGCGAAAGTGAGGCGATCGTTGTGCAACATGCCACGCGCGACACGCTCATAGCAGACCTGAAAAGAAGAGAAATTCATATTAGATATTTTTATATGCGAGACATGGTACGTACACTAAAATGTTCAGAATTAAGAGAAAAATCGATTGAGCCAAATTTTGTTTAATTGTATCACCAACTTACCTGGAACAGATCTTTGGTGACGATGCCCAATCGCTCCGAATATTCGGTTTTGCCATCTAGTTTTGTGTTATTGTACAACACAGTTGAGAAAATGTCCAAGAACATCTTCAACGAATATTGGTAGAGGAAGTGCACCTGGTTTAAGCTATCCATGGTGAAGTAAATGTTGCTGCAAGCCACCGACAATGGCAAATACTGCTGCGAGACAGTCTCAATCTCTGCAATAACCTTATCGGTTTCATCCACCTTCTGATTGATATCGTAAGCTTCCTTCTTCAACGTCTCAAGCGTAGTGATCACCGAATCATCGTCCAGAATCTTGCCCTTTGCATCATTCAATGCTTGCAGTAAACTCTTTTCGAGTTGGCGCAAACGCAAACGGAATTCACCTTGCAATTTCAGCAAATCGGAACGCTTCTCATCGATATCCGGGCGTTCAGCCTTCAACACTTGATTCAAACACTGCGACTGCAAAGAGCTACGTGTGACCGTAAAGTTAACAAAAGTAACACGTGAACAAATATCTGGCGGGAATTCCACGGTAGGATCACGTGTGGACAAGAAAATTACGAACGATGGCGACAAATCGATATCCTGATCGCCAAGTGTGATCAACACACGACCGCCAGTGCGACGCAATTCGCGATTGAGGACAGGATTCAAAATTGGATCGTAATTTTCAACATCTTGCACGAGCAGCGGATTACCGAAACGTAGCGCTGATTCCAAATTCTTGCGGAAGGAATCGTCCAGGAAGGAGGTCTTTGTGATTTTCTTGCCCGCATATTCGTTGAGCAAGAAAGTGGTAGCTTGCCCTGAAGGATCAATAATGAGTGGATAGCGATTGAAACGTTTGAGCATGATGGCATTCTCAGTGCAAAGATCATCGGTTGGCAAAGCATTGGCTTGCCAGCGTAAACGTTCATCGGGATTCGAAAGATATTCGGTGCGTGCCATATCGGCGCGATATTGTATGTTGGCCGATTGGAGATGTTGACACCAGGTGGTGAAAAGATTCAAGCGATAGTGCTGATCAAAGTAGCCGCCTGTGAGTAGCAATAACGAACGAAGGAGTTCAAGAAAATGTGGATTTCCCCATATTTGTATGTCTTTAAATCTTACCATACGCAATGAATGCAGCCGACAACAAAACGTCACCAATAATGGTGGACATCTGTGACTTAAATGTCTCGCTAGTGCATTCCCAGCGTTCGCGTTCGATATTCAAGCTCTTCAGCAGCGCAATGGAACGATCCACCTTGGCTTGCACATTTTCCAGGTCGGTTTTGATGGCCTGGGCCTGCGAGATAAGCTGTGCATATTCTTCCTTGTAGGCGGCAATACTGCGCTCTAGTTGTTCAACCAGATCCTTAGTCTCTTTTGCGCTCTGCTTATTCACATCGGCCTGTTCTTCGAGCGAACGCAATTCCTCGCGTAGCGGTTCCACGCGTTTCAACATGTCAGCGTATTCGATCTGGGCATTGAAAACAAAAACAAAAAAACCGTTCGATAAAGAATTTCTTTATTTAATTCTTTGCAACTCGCTTTTTTAATTACCTGTGCAATTGCCCACTTAACCATAGGGCCACAAGCCATACTGGCGCGATTGACCTTCTCGAAGTTNACCGTTCGATAAAGAATTTCTTTATTTAATTATTTGCAGCTCGCTTTTTTAATTACCTGTGCAATTGCCCATTTAACCATAGGGCCACAAGCCATACTGGCGCGATTGACCTTCTCGAAGTTGTAGTCGGGATTGCTCAGATATTTGTTCTTCATCTTTTCACGCACCTCATCGCTAAAATTGTTTATTTTCCAATCAGGAGATAAAAAGGTATCATGTTAGGTTCGAAAAGTATAGTTTTTGTTTTTTTTTGCAGTGTAATGATAAAATCACCAATCAAAGTGTATTGTATGCAAGCAAAGCGTTTACTAATTAGCAAGAAGAATTATAAAAAATAAANAGAGATAAAAAGATATCATGTTAGGTTCGAAAAGTATAGTTTTTGTTTTGTTTTTTTGCAGTGTAATGATAAAATCACCAATCAAAGTGTATTGTATGCAAGCAAAGCGTTTACTAATTAGCAAGAAGAATTATAAAAAATAAAAGCCAAAACCAAAGTGGGGAGTTTACCGAAATTAATGTGAATAAAGCATTTTACGTTAAGATAAGTTAAACCAACACCGAATCAATTGAAATAGAACTAAAAATAAATGACATAAATAAAATTAGCACGAACCAAGCGTCAGACGCTTTCAAGTTTTTCACAACGCTAAGGGCAAATACATACTACGAAAACGCGTATATCCAATTGCAGAGTGGAGGGAAACTAAACTTCAAAAATCATAAAATAAAACTACAACGAAAAATTAACGGTTTGTAAAAATGAATATTGCTTCAACAAAAAATGAATGAGTACTCGCGCAATTGATTGGATAAAAATAGGAGAATAATAACAGAGCCTCGGAGAAAATTAATAAAAAAAAACTTAATTNCAAAAAATGGGAGAATAATAACAGAGCCTCGGAGAAAATTAATAAAAAAAAACTTAATTATATTTTCGAAGTATTTCGGAGGCAATCACCTTAGGCTTAGAATACAGCTCTTAAGAAAAATAGAAAAATCATAAGGGGTATTCTCTGAGTCTTGCAAAGCCCTTGCAAGGTGCACGGATTGCACGGTTTGCAAAGCTGTCCCATACGAAAACCGGTTTTTTCCGTGCAATCCGTGCAATCTGTGCACCGTGCAAGGGCTTTGCAAGACTCGGAGAATACCCCTATAGAAAAATGACACCATAAAAATTAATAAATTTTCTTCCATCAAGCAGTGTGAATCTCTCAAAATAAAAGCCCGTATCAAGCCATATAAAACATTAGAGAAAAAAAACAAGTTGTTCACGCTTGCCTGGTTATCAGGTTATCTGGTACAACAACAAAATACACTACAGAAAAATTATTTTTAACCATTATACCACAACCACAATATTTGAGTTGGACTGAAACATTGTACGATACGGTATCGTATTTAATGCAATAACGAAAAAAGGCAAATAGCCTCAAACCGGTGCGATACGATATATTCCGAATACTTCAAATTGTATAATGTGTGGTAATAATGAATGAGTTGAATTTTTGGGGCGTATTCTTGTTTTCGTACGAATCGAAAATTTGAAATTTTTGTATAGAAAATGATAGGAAAATTTCGTGATTATCGATTCGTACGAAAGCAAGAATATGCCCCATTAATTCCATTTCAGAACTCCATAACGCATCGTATCGCACCGGTATACCGCATTTGTCTGAGCACTCCCATATACCGCAATGGTTTGTATTGATCGCATAACGTACATTTTTGTATCTCGTCTGTTTGAGGCCATTTTTACATGTATTTTGTTGTTGCTTCTGGTATTCGAATTCAATATGAAAACTTACAGAAGAGAAAAATCATTTTTCACTTAAACTGCTGGTGAAACCGGCTGTCAATAATTACAAAAAAAAAATTCAGATGTTCTACTGCTGCAGCCTGTTCCATAGTCCTTGGCTCGTATATTTAATTCTTCCAGAAAATTTACAGCAACGAAATTTTAAATAGCAGAAATAATGCAAAATATTTCTTGTGATTTTCCTTGAGAGCTTATTCTAAGCATTAATTGGAAAGGGCCTGAAATTTTGTAATGAAAAGTAAAAAAAATTGAGGGAATATTTTTTTCGAGTAATGTTTTTCACTACTCAAGCTCTAAATATTACAGATATTTTCAAGAAAAGGGGGGAAACGTAAGATTTGAAGACGATTTTCGTTGGTAGAAAGGTAACCATTGGATAACCTGAGACTCGTAGTAGCCTATCTACAAAAACATTAAATATTACGGATTTTATAACACTTGTGGATCAAATCTAAGAAATTCTTTGCAGTTAACCATTAAGAAAAACTAAACCGGAGTTGCTCATACATATGTACAAGTATATTGCTCAATTTCATGCCAAAAACCGCTTCGAATCATCAATCAATTGCGCCACTCATTCAACGAGTACACTGAGAAAAGAGTTTAGTTACGTCAACTTCATATGTTTTTATCAACACATGATTTGGTTATAATTACATTATTTGGTTATAGTTACCAAATCATGTGTTGAGATAAATATATTTGGCTGACTTTTTTCTGAGTGTACAAAAAAAAATATAACAACAAGGGTGTAAAAATAGTTAACTTATTATATTGTTTTTGTTGTTGTTGTCATGCTTACGTTATATTTTCAGTATTGAAGTTAGATACAATTGAATTTATAAAGTTTTCCCGCATTATAACGGCACGAATTGCTTTCCAGTCGGTCGCATTCTCACCCAGCAGCAAACAGATTGACTCCAGAGCCAATTTCACCACCGACGGTGGATTGGCCATGGTACGGACTTCAACAAGTTGTTGCTTACGAATTGATTTAACGGCTAAAGTGAATCAAGCGGGGTAGGAGAGTGAGTGTGTGGTGAGTAATTGTAGTAGTAGTAGTAATAGTAACTAGTAAAAATAATCGCACGATCTGAGTCGTTTAGTAGTAAAAATATTAACATCTAACAATTTAATTAGCTGATATTAAATTAAATTAAATTAAAGGGTATCGTTGGCGGGATCGCAGTAGAGTGATCTTTGTTGTATGTAAATCCAATCCAGTATTCTTTCTCATTGCCGATGTCGCGCAAGTGGTTATTAAGGTTAAAGTTATATCTACCAAAACCTATAGATGTTTAGTGCATTCATTTGTACATATTTCAGTATTAACTAATATGGACTTGCTAAGAGTTCTAGAGATAAACATTTCGGGATTTAAATTTATTAATTTTACTAAATAACTACTTAGAGTTCGACTTAATATAAAGAAAAATCCTAAATCACTAGAGTGTCGGTAATTTAGTTAATAGAAAAGCAATATTGAAGTAATCATTTCTCAAGAAATCTTTGAGGAATTTGTCCTTAACGAGTTCAGGCGTACTCTGTTATCGATGTGCTTTGTCTTTGATTTAACTGCAGGCACTATAGAGTGCTCGCACCTCCTTATGAAAATTCGTTTTAATGTTCCCTCACGTATTCTTCGTTGTAATGAATTGTTTTTTGTGGGGGTGTTGTTGAAACTGTTTATGGTATGGATGCTCCTTTAAGGAGGACTCTATCCCAATTTAATGCTTATTCTTCTTCTTTAGACTTAGATTTTTCTTATTCAAAGTTTACTTTTAAGAATTTACTCATAAGGCCCTTGCCAAAAGGGTTTCCCTTATTCTATATATATATATTTGTCATATAGTCTGTAAGCATCTTACATTAAATTACATATGTATGTATACATCGTCGCTAACTGTTCTAAAAATTTTGTTGTCATTACGAAAAAGTGTGGGATTCGACACTTTGTTAAAGCCAGTTTCCCTGCTTCTATGAAGACTAGAAATCCAACGATTTACCAACTTACGTGTCACTCTTACAACTTACGTTGTTCACACTTGCCTGCTAATCAGGTTATATGGTTATATGGTTATGTGGTTATTATTTTCATTCAGCTTACAACAATAAAATGCACTACAGAATAATAATTTTTAACCAGATAACCTGATAACCACGTTCCCACGACAGTCGGGTCTACGTAACCGGAACGACCCAGATTTATATTTGGCCAAGGACTATCACTTCAGCAACACTCCCCAAAAACTCTTTGGGGAGCTTGTATGCTGCTACAACAACAACAACAACAACATAACCAAGCAAGTGTGAACAACCTAATTGACAGTCAGTGAGCCATTAAGGCTCTACTTTTATATATGTACTTCTATTCGAAGACCGTCATAGATTGTGAGAAAACAATCGGAAGGTCAGGCAAAGCCCGTCTACCTGTATTCGGTACTGTGATAAAAAGGTTTTGATTACAACGACAAAAATGATGAGCTAGCCCAATAGGGTATTTTTTTATGAATGCCTAACCAGTTCCTTTACAGGAAATCAAACGGTCACAGAACTTCTCGTATACCGCCAAGCAGACAGGATATCGATGGTCAAATATTGACTACTTATAACCAGGACTTCGGAGCTGAGCGGAGCAAAGGAGCAAAGGATTTTAGTTGGAGCGGAGTTGGAGCAAAGAGCTAAGCAAATTAATTTGCTTCTTAGCTTCTTAAAGAAAAAATTTCAATATATGGTTTTTGTTATTTTCAGGCCTAGTAACAATTTATTTTGAAATAATTTTATTGTTGTTTTTCCACAAAAAGTTATCTATAATAAGGTCCTCAAGCTCAATAAAAATTAAAAAAAAAAAACAAGTGATGAAGTATAATTTCGGGCGAAACCGAATTTTATATACCCGGCGCTGGTATTAACTATTGTCGTTCCAAATTTCTTTAAACTACCTAAAAGTCTATAGCAGTCTTATTTATTGTTAAGAGATTGCTGTAAGTATTAACTTGGAGTAAATTAACGACCTCAGTTATTGAAATATAGGAGTTTTCGTATATCCGAAAATTACCGTTATACAGGAAATTGGTGCTTTTTCGTATCAAGGTTATTAAATACACCACGTTTGGTAAAAATTGATAAATCGGTTACCGAGATACACATTTGTAGTCATAAGTGGGCTGCGCCACGCCAAAATCCAAAAATTTATAATCGTCTAATTTTTTGCTAGTGGTCATTGCAATAACCGATTTTGAGTTAATTAGCTTCAGTAGTTACTGATTTATCGCACTTTTCGTGTTTCTGTAAATTACCGTTATATTCAATTATTTCCAGTAAATAATAATTAATTAAAGCATGAAACACATTGAAAACGACGGGCTACGGACCACAGCTGTCAAATTATTTTAGCACGTACTCTTATGTAGATAATTATTTTGGCGGCGCACACAAAGCAAAAGTGATAATTTAGCTGGAAAAAAAAAATTAACTAATAAAATTGATTTGGGGTTTGGGAAACTAAAATTATGTGACGGTTTAAAACTATTTATGCAAAAATAACAGCATTAGTAAAAGTATAAATTTACCGACCGAGATTTTTTTTGGTTGAAGGTGTTTCAGGTTTTTTCCATACAAAGTATGTTCGGCAATTTTCTTTTATATGAAGGACACTGCAAGCAAAAAAAATTGCCAAAAATCAACGGAATTTTTTAGCAGCTTGAAACTTGCACTTTATTATACTAGAATTAAATGGGCTACAAAACTGCGTTCCACAATTTTTTCTAAATATTCTGATTAAAAAGTTTGAATTTTCAGTGAAAATTTGCGAAATTTTTAGCTCTTGTACAAAGTTTGAAATCTAAATTTATATAGTGTTTGTTGTATAACAGGCTAGACATTTATAAAAAACTAATAAACATTAAATAAACAAAAGACAAATAGCCAAAATTGTTCAAAATATCGCACTCCTATTATCTTGCGGACAACTGTATTTTTTCTTGTGATCTCTTTTTTCATGGGCACATACTTAAGAAACACAAATAATGCGACTCGGGAGCAACTATCGCTTGTACATTACATATGTACATATATAAATGCATACTACATTTGTACATACAAACATGTAACGTAGAATTAAGTCTAACTGTATGATTTGTATTATAAATAAACGCTCCACAGAGTGTGGGGTCAGTTACACTAAACCAGTATCGCGCAGAAGATAGAACAAGGCCTTTCTGGCTACTTTCTGTCTTTACTGGCTAGCAGCCGCCTAACCTATCCTATGGCCACAGCACGGGTGGATTTAGAAGAACAGTTGTAAGGACTTAAAGTTCGGAGTCCCTCTAATCATCGGAGCATTTGAAAATATTTTAAGCATTGCAGAGCAACATCGTCGTGACTTTTCTATTTGACGATTTAAGTCTACAAGTATCGCCCAGTTGTCCGGAATTCGACATCTTTTTTCATAAACTTTTGAATTTTACCTGTCACCAATACTAACTCCTTTATGCGAATTACTATTTTGAAGTCCACCAGCATAGTTTATATCGAATTTACAGGAAAACTTCAAATCGAATTATGAACGTTAATACCGGATTGGTTAATGGTAATTCTACCAAGTCTACTCCAAAATTTCTTCAGCAGCTTTTGAAATTAGACCGAAAAAGGAACCTCGATTTTCATTTATAAAAAATATGCATATGTATTTGTATGTAAAGATGAGATGTTCATCACTGACTAATATGTCAAACATATACCAATTCGGACTGTAAATAAGTTTTTCGATTATATTTGTCTGAGAGCCTCTTGCAGGTTAAAAACTAAATTGCCCACATCTACATACTCTTTCTTTTTTTCATCAGAATCGTTAACGGTTGAGAAAGTATCTTGAAGGATTAAAACAAAAGATAATATTTCCTTCCCTAATGGCGGTTTTACTATTTTTTATCACATGACCGGGCTACCAGGTTATACCATATTTTATGTTACTAATATGTGTTCTATAAGAGAATTTCAGTTTGTATGGGCGGTGCCACGCTGCCCTTTCCAAAATCTACCACTTTTCGCGATAAGTACGTAATTGATATCGTAAGTAGCTGTTTCAAATTTCGGGGCGTTAGCCTAAGCAGTTCCAGAGATAAGCGATTTGAGAATTTCAGTTTGTATTTCTTTTCCCAAATCTACCACTTTTCGCCGTAAGTACGATATTGACAACATATATTGCTGTGTCAAATTTCAGGACGTTAGCATAAGTGGTTCCAGAGAAAAGCGATATGAGAATTCCAGTTTGTATGGGAAGTGCCACGCCCACTTTCGCAGTACCTACCATTTTTCACCGTAAGTAGGGTATTTACAATCTATGCATCTGTGCTAAGTTTCAGTTCTCCAACATAATTGGTTTTAGAGATATAATGGTTTTCACATTTTAGTCTATATTTCAGATGCCACGCCCCCTATATATCGGGATTAACATTTCTGGATTAGAGGAAGCTATATCCTTTAAATCGCTGTATGTTTCATTGAAATCGAGCCTTCAAAAACGGTGCCTTCAAAAAAGGTATTGCAAAATTTTCTTGTGGCGTATTTATATATAGAAGATAATTGTGTCCGTGGTCAATCCATATCTACGCTCAATACTACTTTTGTCTGCTATATTGCAGTTTACTAACTCCTACAAAACTTGGCATAGTTTTTAAATTTTTCAACAAACCTTTTTGTGGTTTGGTCCGAACCCTTAACAAGCCCGCTATTATACAGTTGTTAAATACAGTTATTATTAATAAAAAAAAAAACTAGACTAAAAAATTTATACTATACATATTACGAACTTATTTTATATTATTTGCACTTATAGCCTATTTCCACCAAAGGCTTAACTGCAGTTAAGAGCTCAGAAAAGTTCAAATAATTCCAACCCTGATCGGAAAGGTTTTTTTCTTAAGTTTTGTTTTTTTTCCTTTCGTCTGCTTCTACTTAATAGGTGGAACCACCCCCTTCGAGTTGTAATCTCCGTTTTTCAAACGGCATAAACTGCAATTAAGGCTTGGTGGAAATCCACTTTTATATAGATTTGATGTTTATAATACAGAAAATTGTTTATGAAAAATTTACAATATTCAAAAAATAATAATGAATATACACGAATACACACATAATTAACGGTCATTATTGAAATTAATAATTGTGCTGAGCAGATGCAAAATGTGGTGAATGCATTCGTTTGTTTGAGATGAAAAAAATGGACGATGCAAAAGTATTATGTAATCAAAGAAAAATATATTTAATCCGTTTGATTAGAAATCAGAAAATAGAGAGGAGGTTATGTAAATTACGTATAAGTTTAGATATACAATATGTATATATATGTATGTATTATACAGCACTGATCCACGGTTTAATAGTTTTAATTAATTTAATATAACAGCCACATGAAGCCAATTTAAATGATTGGGTGAACTGAGTGTGTGTGTGTGTGTGCTTGTACATATGTATGTTATATTTTGTTGTTGTTTTATCTTTTCTTTTAGATTTTTGCAGCATGTTTTTTTATGTATGTATAGTAGTATTTAGTGTTTATATATGCAGGTGGGCGTGTGTGTAAGTGAAAATTTTGAATTTTGTTTGCTAAGAATATTTGAATTAAAACTATTGCTGATTGATTATATATATATAGTAATGTAGTATATTGCCGTACGTGATATGCTCAGTTTTCAAATTAACAATGGACGGTATAAAACTATCTTTGACAAGTATGCCACGAATCGCCTTCCAATCGGTGGCAGTCTCGCTAAGCAGCTCACAGACTGATTCCAGCGCTAATTTAACAACAGCCGGTGGATTGGCCATGGAACGCACCTCAGCCAAGTGTTTCTTTTTAATGGCGCTTACAGCTAAAGTGGTAAAGTGTTTGCAAAAAACGCACATTTAAACGGTGATGAAAACAAATCAAGAGATGTGATAAGAAAAATAAATTTGAAACACCAGTGTAGTTCATGTTATGTATAATAAAAAACGTACGCAAATACACTATGTACTATGTATGCGTGAACATTCGCTGTTGTGTAAAATGCTGTGCTAAATAAAAAAAAAAAATTGCATTTAAGAAGTAATTTAATCTTAGCACTTCTCACTNACGTACGCGTACTATGTATGCGTGAACATTCGCTGTTGTGTAAAATGCTGTGATAAATAAAAAAAAAAATTGCATTTAAGAAGTAATTTAATCTTAGCACTTCTCACTAGTCAAATTGCTTAAATCGAACCTAAAATTTTAAGTTATCGTTAAGAAATAAACAGTTATTTTACTTTGAACCTCTCATTTTATATACTAAGCGTTTACCTTGTTGCGCCTCTATAACTGCCGGTTCCACTTGTGCCAAATCGGCCATGACATATTTTCGTTTTTCTTCAATCTTAACCGTCTGATCGGCTAAACGTATCTGTATCTCTTGAGATTGTATTTTCTTCTTCTCCGCCTCTTGTTGATCCTTAAACATTTGCTTCAACTTAGCATTAGCCGCCTCATTCTTCGCCTGCAATTCCTGTTTCTTTACGGACAAAGACTTCTGCATCTCCTCCACTTGCTCAACAGTTTCCGCAATCTTATTGAGACCAACATTCAAATGTAACTGCTGTTCTTCCAAATCACTACGTTTCTCATTGTACAATTTGACAAAGTGATGAATAAAGTCCAAATAGTGGCGTGGTGTAACGGCCATTGTGCGTCCACCACGCTTGGCGAGGCGTGCATTGGCTTGGTGTAGAGTTTGGTGTACGTACACACAGCTGTTGATAACAGCATCGCGGTGAGTGGGTTGTGCTGGTACCAAAGGACAAACAGACGGGAAGAAGTCGGGAGCAGACCAGCCTTGCTTTTCCAAGTCCACGCGTGTAGTGAACTCTTTACCAACCTGGAAGAGTGCGGAATCGGACCAATCTCCGAACCAGTTGAGCACGCAACGATTGAAAAGAGCAGGTGAAGTGGCAGCGCGATCTTTTAGACCATCTGTGGATGGGTTCATGGTGAAGACGACGTGCAAATTGCGCATAACCTGTTGGGTGAACCTGCGTGGAAGGAGAGAGAGGAGCGAAGAATTAAGTATGTTTTACTTGCAAGTTTGGCTCAAAGTAAACGTTACTTTTATGTATGAATTAAAAATCAATTCCAGCATACCATTTATACAACTCATCGCTGGAGTCCAACATCAGGCCCTCGCGCTGTGCTCCTTCCTTACATTGTGTCATCAAAGTAGTGTATTCGTCGCCCTCGAACAGACCGGGAACTTCACCGTTAGCCAGCAGCGTGTTCATACGTTCCAAGAAACCAGAATCCAAAACATTCGACTCGTCTAAAATGAATGCTATCTTCTCATCCTTGCAGCCCGAACGTCTCAGCACACAACGTAAATCTTCATCAAAGTCTTCGCTCGTGTATTTGTTGTGCACCTTAATTTGGAAGATGGACAAACCATTCATCCAGGCGACGAAGCGTGAAAGTGTAGTTTTGCCTGCACCAGACACACCAATCAGCAACAGATGTCCCTGGGGCTGACGGAAAATACGGTCAATACGCAAAACATGCTCCAAAACTTCATCGAACAAGACGAGCGGCACATCGAGCTCCTCCTCGTAGAAAACTTTAAGGCGAGCACGCACATAGTCTCGCAATTCTTCGCGATTGACCGGCATGTAGTCCTTGGACAACCAATTACTATATAAAATGGGGCGTGTCAATGCCTCCTCTTGATTGATACCAGGGAAGTGTTTGAGTGCAACAATATCGATATTTTCATTGGTCCAACGGCGTTCTGATTCCTCAACCAGCCTGTCTTGGAACAAGCGTAGCGCCTCATGCGCCCACAAACGCACCAAACCCTCCACTGGTAGCGAATCAAGCGGACGTATAGCCTCGCAAATACCGCGTACCCAGCGTGTCATCTCACGCGGCGAGTACACATAGTGCGGCTGCATGTCCTGTGTGAAGCGATCCTGCGAAACCAAATAAAACTCAACCATAGCGTTGGTAAGTGGTTCAGCGTAGCCTCGCAATGAGGGCATCATACGTAGCATTGCACGTGAGAAAGTGCCATAGATTTGTTTGAGCGAAGTCTCACCAGGATAGTCGACATAAATGATGGGCACATGACGTAGGAAACGATGCGAAAGGGGCTTACGACCTGGATCTGTGGGAGGATTACAAGCGCCCACGAATTGTATACGCTCCAAGGAGACCCAAGCTTGATCACTGGCGCGATAGAATCCTTTGTGTTCAACAAGTTGACGCAAGAATGAAATCACACGTTGAGTACCGTAGGTGTCCATGTCGGGTAAATTGATTTCATCGCAGAAGAGTACCAACCATTTGCCAATCTGGATTTTGTTTATAAGAGTAAATATGTTTATTAATTTAATAAAGGAAAAACTGGATGTGAAATAATGACGCACCTGTACTGGCGAAAGCACAACACCGTTAGGAGTCTTACGATATTCGCAGTAGTGATCGAAAGTTTTCAGTAAAAGCTCCGGTGTTGTGGCTGATGAGAAATTCAAACCAACCACTTCCATATCGGGTAAAGCGCGCAGTGCTGAGAAGAGTGTCATGGTTTTGCCAGAGCCAGGCGGACCACATAATACTAAGAAATAAAAAGTTATTAGTGGTTGGAAAACATTTTTTCTTGTTTTTATCACCCACCCAATGGCTTATGCTCCGCTAGCCAAGTGTACAACAGCGATTCATGACGCACAGTGTCCAATGTGGGCACAACAATATCTGGTGAAGCGACTTTGTGCGTCTCAACCTCTATAACCGGTACCTTGTTCGACCACGGCACCCATTCACCATTCATGCTAACTTCGTAGTCAATGATGGGGGCACCGGCAGCGCCAGGCAGTGGAATGGTAGTAACACTGCGTACAAAATCACCCAAATCAGTGCGCACTTTGAGCTTAGCATCACCAGCAAAGGACCAGAGTACTGAATAAATAAGTGCTTTGGGTATGTACTGCTCCAATTGGTCGTTGGAGCAAGGGAAGTCTGGATGTTGGGAGTTAAAGTGGAGCACATTTCTAAAAAAAATTAATTGGAGTATTTTATTAAACAATTTTGTACATTTTTGATATTTATATGATATATATACGCATTTAAGTTGGCGGCTCATTGCGGGTAGAGACGACTTTAATTAGGAAATGTGTTTACTTACCTTGCAGCTTGATTCAGCATTGAGAAGAGTGAGCTAAGCGCACGCAAACGTGTAAAGTCCATAATATGCTCTTGTTCCATGGCATACTCCAGACTGCGCACTACAATGCCATCTGCCGAGAAGTATGGCTGCAACAACAATGCGATATCGCGCTGTACTTGCAATGAGGGAGAGACCTCTTCTTCTTTATCCTTGTTGGACGAAGGCTTGACAGCGCCAACAAAGTCTTCATCGCCATCTTCCAGTGGTATGCTACGCAATCGTGACAGATAATTCTCGAATATCATCTCAGTGGACAAAACATCCTCGGAGAACCATACCATGCCACAACGCGAGACTGTAGCGAGTGTGGCAAACTTCAAATCTTGCACCTCAAACATTATGCGCACATTTGGTGGCAGCGATAGACGTTCACCGTTCGGCAGTGTCAGTAATTTGTTGTCGTCCAACACAGAGTTCAAATTTTCTACCCATTCGGGATCGACATCTCCATCGAAAATAATCCATTGGCGCTTATTGATTTCACCACGCACGTTGTCGATGATTTTACGGAGTACATGCGTGAACAATCCGTCTGTCCACTCGCGTGTATTCTGATCCATGACACCATAGAGTGCCTCCTTCGAAATTGCTTTGGGATCAATGACGTGTGCAACTCCCTCAGTACCCTCGAAACGTTCCAATGCTTTGAGTAGTGTACGCCAGGCAGTCGATTTGCCTGAACCAGATGGACCGACCATCATCAAACCGTGATTGAGGTTAGAGATTTGGTATAATTGTAGTACCTTTTTATAAAAAATGGCAAACATATTAGAATATGAACGGCAACGAAGGATATCGAAAATAAAAAATTAATGCGAGCAAGCTTAAGTTTTTGGAATATGAATTTGGCAATTAATAAAAGTATGAAAGCAACTCATAATAATTTTGACTAATTAAACTTGCTTGGTATACAAATGTGAACTAAAGAATTGGAAAGGGTTAAGCGTCTTACTTTTTCCACCCACGTTTCACCGAATCCTTGCGCATTCTGTTTTATAGACGTTATTCATTGTGATTTTCGGTAATTGCGCGTGAAAAGCAAGCATTGATTAAATATTAAAGTGCATACATTAGGAAATTTTTCTTAATAATTTTCGAATCTCTAAGTATACACATCAATTTACACAAAATACGAGAAGCGCAATCACAAATATTCGTGCGAAGGAGGTGTTCCAAAATAAGTTTTTCTCGGAGAGGTATACAAAATCATATTGGTAATAAATTTAAATCACTCCTTCACAGCTTTCACACGCTGCACCAACACATTTTACTACAAATAAAACAACTACATAAAATTCGACGTATATTATCACTTACTTTTTCCATCCAAGCAGCGCCCTGCTCATCGCCCTCGCCACAAACCAGGTAATCTTCTTGGCATACTTTGCGTATTTCCTCTTTCAGACCCTTCATCTCAGCACGTGTGTAGCCAACGTTCGGGAAGACGTCGCTTAGCAACGAGAATAGCAGTGGTATATCCTCTGCCACCAACTTGGGTACCATTGTCTCACAAACCGATTGAATTAGAATCTCTTGCTCAGGCAAATTTTCAGCTACCGAGGCTTCATCAATATTCTCCTCACCACGCTGACGCAAGCTTTCCTTGATCTTCATAATGCGATCACGTTTAACATTACCAGCCGATATCAATACCGATTTAAGCGCACGCAAACCGAAGTCATAATGACTTTGATTCGAAAGCTGCTCATCGCAAAGCTTGAAAAATGGTACAATCTTACAGGCCAACTTCTCGGCTGAGCGGAAACCTTGTGAGAACAACATCACCTCGGCGATAAGCTGGCGATCCGGTGTAGTCATAGCCAGTGAACGGAAGAGTTTCTTCAAGTTATCAGGCAGATTGGAGCGGCCAGCATAACCAGGATTCATGGTAATGAAAATGGCCATGTCAGGCGAGACGCGCACCTGCTTTCCAACCAACTCAACAGTAATGCTTTCCTTATTGCTATCCATTTCATACTTCAATGCTTCCTGTATTGTTTGAATTTGTTGTGAACAGGCGGACAACATACGCTCCTCCAAACGATTGAACTCATCAAAGCAACCCCAAGCGCCAACTTGACACAAACCAACAAAGATACGGCCCATTGCTTGAAAATCGAATGTCTCATCACAATTGAAGACGAGTACAAAGCGACCAAGTTGATTGCCGAGCGCTTTAACGGATTCAGTTTTACCAGTACCGGCTGGACCGAAAGGCGATCCTCCTAGACGTGATTCCAGAGCTTGAGTCATAGTCAAATAGCAGCGATCGGTGAGAGGTGTCTGTACGAGGCGATCCTGTACGCCTAGGTATTCGAAGCCATAGTAGAAACGAGCGTTGGCCATGTGAATGGTGAGTTGTTGGAGAACCTATGTAAAAAATAAGTTGTTTTTGTTTTTTTTTTTTATGGTCAGGAAAATCTAAATTTACGCCACTACCCGAATCTCTAATACATTAAAATAAATTCTCTTAAAACCAACACTTACGCACACTGATGGCGCTTAAGTCCCAGCAAACCCAGTCTCTAACGTTAGAGAATCGTTTTCATTTTACATTAGAATTCTAAGGTAGTTCTCGAAATGAAAATGAGATTAGAGAACTATGTTAGAATTAGATTAGAGAATGTTTAGAAAAACACTAGACATTAGAAACCAATTAGAATTGAACGTTAGAATACGATAAGATATCTAACTCTTTGCTCGTCTTCTAACCTTCTACCCTACAGAACTACATATGTACATAGAATTCGAATCGCTTTTTATCATTCTCTTAGCTAAATGTTTCATCGGGTGTGTTAATAAGAAAGGGAATAAAAGGTCNAAAGGTCACACGTATACCAGAGTCGCGTAAAAGTCTTAGGGCCAGTTTTTCAGTGCACGGCCGTGGTTTAAACTCAGTTTAAACGCCCGATCTGGCTGGTTTAAACTGAGATTAGCCAATCAGATGTCAGCCAGCTGTTAAATTTAAACTCAGTTTACTTAATCTAAGTTTAAACTGACACTGAAAAACTGGCCCTTAGAAACTTTCATTGAAATCTCTGATAGAGCAGAGATAGTTCTAAAATATGTAGTTCGGAACTAGCGCTTTGCCAGACTGTCTCTAAATTTTACTGCAGGGAGGTTTCAGTTTTATATACATATGTGAACAAAACGAAACACACAACATGTTGTCTATAGGTGCGTGTCAGTCCAACGTCAATCCGCGATTTTCGCGGACTGAAATGGACGAGTTAAACTCCCTTCCCCCTCTTACCCACACCAAACCCGGTTTTAGGCGGACTGAGCAGTCCAGTGTGCGGAGGCTCACTGGGTACATATCGTCGTTTAAAGTACAAAACCGCGTATGTGAGATTGCATAAATTATTTTCTACAGAGTAAAACACTCATATTTCAAAATGGTTCTCTTTATTATAAAGCAATCGCATTACTGGCTGGTATATTTCTTTTCCCTTTCCTCCTATCATGAATAAAAATTCCCTGCGGATTTTTTATATTAAATGGCGGTGTTGAGTTGTCAAAAAAGTATCAAACAGCTCTTGCGAAGTTTGAATTTTCACCATCCAAATTTCCGGGGAAAATGCTACTTCCTGGGAGTTAATTATTGGAGGATTTCTTTCTCGGGAGAAACAAATTCCCGGAGAACAAACTCCCTGGGAGTATTCAGAATTGTGCTGATAATTTTATTTTTTATACTAATTTTGATTATTTTATTTTCTGATAAATGCAGAACTCTATAAATACTTTTTCTTACTTTGTTTCTAGAGGGTTGACGGGGTACAATTAATGGAAATATTTACCTCAGTTTGACGTGGGTCGAAGTAGAAACGCATCTCACAAAGCCATTGGAAAGATTTGGGACTGGTAACACCATTGGCAGTCAAGCGTCGTGTTACTGTACGCTTATGAACAAATTCATTGATCTGAAAGAAATTAAAAAAAGTAACTAATTAGTTTAAATAGGCTGTGTATAAGCTTTTTAATATGTACCAAATGCTCCAATTTACGTCTGCGCAGTGGCGGTTGTTCCTGCAACACTGAGTCAGCGAGCACATTCAATGTTGACTCCACGGTACCCAACACGCGCTGCATTGGCTTTGAATTATTACTCT